TATTAGTAATGACCCATTGTTTTGTTTTGTTTTGTTTTGTTTTGTTTTGCCTTTTGCTATAGGACATGTGATTGCCAGAGGGAGGGGCAGAGAGAAAGAGAGAGAGTATATAAATAAAATCACCTGCCCCAGGGCAATGGCCACACCACAATCCCTTCTCCTCCGTTGTCCTCTCAGGACTTCTGGCACTAATGCACACACACTCAACATGTTATCAAGCCACCAGGTCCAGGATTCACACCACATAGTTGACCATGTGAAATCCAGCACCTTAACCACCATACCTACCAGCTGGCCTATAAATCTATTAACAACTTTTTAAAAATTACAACATTACATATACTTGGAGTTTTCTTCAACTCCCATTTCACATGTCAAAGTCTTTACAAGATAGTGCCCTCTCTGATCTCTCTGATTGCCTTTCTTCTCTCCTCACTTTATGTAAACCACATTGTCTTTCCTTGCTGTCTGTTGAACACTCTTGTCCTTTATCTCTCTGAGTTCTGAACCAGCTATTGCTTCTCCCTAGAACATGTTCCATCAGAAATTCTCATAGTCTACCTTCTTCACAAATTATCTTTGTCAAATAATTCAACCCTTCTTTCAGTAAGATCATCCATGACCATTCTGGTTTAAAATAGCAACACTGAGCCAGCCCTTGGCGTGATTAAGGTGGCTGGACCCATATTGCTGACTACATTGAGTCCTGGACATGGCAGCCTCAGAGACACTCCAAGAATATGTGCATGTGTGCCCAAATCCCAAAAGGAAGAAGAACTGGAGGTAAAGGGATTGTAGAGTGACCATCTCTCTCATTTCCTGTCTGCCTTTGGTAAGCATGCCTACCCTTCAAATTTTTTAAAACAAATTGCAGCACTATTACTACCCCCAATTTCCCTCTCCCCATTTATTTCCTTTTCCTTTGTAGCATATATTACATTCTCAAATCCTATAGTTTTGCTTGTTATTTAATTATTACCTGAATTTCACATTATGTAAACTCCACAAGGGCAAAATTTTCCATTTTTTGTTCATTGCTATGTCCCAACACTTGAGATGTAGCAAGAGTAAATACAGTGTGTGTCACTGCGTCAGTGCATGTGAATACGTATGTTTGTACAATAAACAGAGAGAGAGCTCAAAAAGAATAATACCAAACTGTTCACAGTCATTTTATCTGGCAGGAGCTCTCTACCACCATGGGGAAAAAAATCTTTTATATTTTACTGTACATTTTTCTGTGTTGCTTAAACTACATATTACATTGACTTTATAAATAATATGTAATTCAAGCAACATAGAATCATTGTGCCATTGGTTTATATGTGTGTTTTTATGTGAGTATAATACTATTTGGGTTACTAAAGATTTGAAATACGTTCTAAATTCAGGTATTATGATACAGTTTTGTTCTTGCTTAGAAATTATTAAATTACAATATTTAAGGTCTGTTTTGATTCCATACGAATTTTAAAATTGTTTTATCTATTCTGTGAAGAATTCCATTGGAATTTTTATAGGGATTGCTTTGAATCTGTAGTTATTTGCTTTGAGTAGAATTGACATTTTAACTGGGCTAGTTCTTATAATCCATGAACATAGGATGCCTTTCCATTTGAGTTCCTCTTCAGTTTACTTCAGTCTTTTCTGGGGACCAGCAGATGGTGTAATGGTTACATCGTTGGATTCCCAAGTAGTCGATTGTGGTTCAAGTCCTGGACCTGGCGGCTTAAAACTCACAGTGGGCGTGTGTGCACGCGTGCCCAAAATTCCAAAAGGAGAATGGAGGAGAAGGAATCATGGCATGACCATTCCAGCAGGGAGTGATTTCTTGCTCTCTGTGTCTCCAGTGAGAAGCATGTGCCCGATAGCAAAAATCTCTCTCTAGGGACCAGCACTTGGCATAACGGCTATGTCACTGGACTCCCATGTAGTCTGCTGCAGTTCGAGTCCCAGACCCGATGGCTTAAACTCATACCTGGTGTGTGTGTGTGCATGCCCAAGATCCCAAAAGGAGAATGA